CTCTCTCCTGCTTCATCCCAGCCACGGCTGAAAATCAGGGCACGGGCATGCCCAGGATTTCACCAGGAGGTCAGAGGGAGATGCTGGGCTCACGCTTGCCACTTGCCTTTGTGGGGAGAAGACTTGGGTTTTTGGGCCAGCTGTCAGGGCTCGGAGAGCCAGGCTTTCCTCCACCTGCACAGCCTGGTGCCTGTCTGGTTGGCTCTGGGTTTGCTAAGGGCCCCAAAGGCACCACCAGCAATCATTCATTCCTGCCTTCCCTTGGAAACGCTCCACCCCACAAAATCCCATCATGAAACCACAGTACCCAAGGGCTTCACAAAAGGCACCCAGGTGTAGCCGCTGTTATTAAACCCTCCAAAAAACCCCGACACCAGCTCTTCCTTTCAGTGACCCCGGGGTATTTATCCTGGTTTTACAGCAGCTGCTTCCCCAGCTCCTGAGCAGCACAACTTCACAAGTGCCTTTTGATTTCCATTTTGATTTTTTTTTTTCCCCCCAATTCTCAGAAGTGTTCCCCACCTCTTCACCTCTCGCATAAGGTGTTATTGTATTATCACTGCAACTGCTATAAAAACAAAGCCATCAGGGTGCTGTGATGCTCAGGCATTGGAGTGCGTGAAGCACACACCCACCAGGATATTTGCAGAGGGAGTTTAACCCTTCTTTTTCCACGAGCACCTTCAAATATGGTGTAGGACAAGGCAGGTTGGTGTAGGGTCCTCATTCTCTATTAGTTACACTAACAGCACCCAGGGACCTGATGCTCCACTTGCTGATGGCTGAAGGTCCTTCAACATCTCCCTCTTGGGACCACCACTTAAGAAGTCACCAAGCTCATACTACTCTTTCTGACCATTTCTGAGCAATTTTTCTCTTTTTTGGTCCAGGACACGCTGCATCAAGCAGGTCATGAATCCAACTTCAGCACCCAGCCAGCTCTGGTTCATGCACGGGCAAGGCGAGTGTCCCCAAACCCCAGGGGAAACACAGACATTCCCCTCCCCAGCTCTGTCTCAGAACGAGTGAAGGTAGTTTATGCACATTTTTGGAGAAAAAAAATATTTTTAGCTGGGGGAGAACAGGCTGGTTTTTTTCAGGCAGCGATAATAATTTGGAAACCACAGGTTATAAACAGAGCGGGTTTACAAATGTGACTATTAGTTCCCCAGTGGAAGCTTTAGCATCAGGGAGTTTTAGGTGGGCGTTGATTTCCACAGAGAATGAAAAAAATCTGGATTTATTGACATAAGAAGCAACCAGTTGAACCCAAGTCAGTGCCATCCATTCCTGCACAAGGTCCCAGGAGGTTGCTCATGGCAGCAGCCCCTCATTAGGCTAATTAACACAAGGGAAAGCATGAGCAGGACATCCCACAGCTCATGGAAACCCCAACGCTGGGTCTGGGGCTGTGATGCCACCTACATTAAGCACCTCTCCCATTGGACACATGGCAAAAAAAATAAGTCCAGAAAGGAAGATTAATATCTTGTGTCACCCTTGGAGGGACAAGGGCCAGCAAGCATGATGCTGGGTCCCTCTGGGTCCATCAGGAATGGATCCTAGGGTGGGTCCTGCTCACGTAGATATCCTCTCTGCTCCACCACCATGGGATGCATCTGCATCCCCAACTGGTCAGCACATCCTGAGGTGAGCGTTACCCTACACCTCTAACACTCACAGCATCCTCTCCACCACGGCCACTGCCTCTTGCTAAGTCACGACAAGACCCCAGCGACCATTAATTCTCCCAAGCTCGATAGTCTTTGCCCCAGACACGTATTAAATCAAGCGCAAAATTTTTGTTCACTAAAGACGATGCTGAACCCGTTGGTCGCCCGCACACATCCCCCGTGCAGACTCCACCACCCGCCTTACGCAACCAACACAGAGTGAACCGCCAAGTGCAAACCCTCTCCTGCAAGCTGTTTGCAAGTCATTTGCCAGCCAAGGATTATTTGCTGAAGAAATTTGCCAATAATTCAGCAGATCAAAGAGGCGAGAGTTTCTTGCAAGGGAGGCGCAACCACGGCGCTGAAAAGCGGCAGCTCTGCCAGCACCGCATGGCAAGAGCAAGAGCTGAACAGCACAGAGGAGCCTGTGACCTGCTCCAGCTCATCGCCCAGTGACCCACTTCTCCCCAAAAAACTGGGTCAGGATGGAAATCAGTGGGTTGCTTCTTCTGCCCATCAAACAACAGAATTTGCCCCAAAAGCCCAGTGAGCCCTTGTCAGTGGGAATTGGCAGCACTGGGACAAAGCCAGAGGGTCACAGGGCATTTCTTGGAGATGCTTTCATCCTGCTGGAGTGAACATCAGGACATCAGGAGGATGATGGTGGTGAAGCAGAACCCCGGAGGGTTGTGACCCATAACGGGTGGTGTCAGGGGGACCCGGGCAGCTCCCAGTAGGGTGGCTGGCGTGGCACTAACAGCCCTTCATGGACAATTGATTCCCTGGCACAGGGCCCGGCGCGGCACTGAAAGGAGCTGGCGAGGCTTTCGCAAGTGAGTAATTGCCGAGCGCTGACTCAGCACCGGCTCGGTGACAGTCAGCTCACCCGGAGCCACGGGGAGGGCAGGGAGAGGTCCATGGCCATACCCCCCTCCCAGCCCAGTGCTTCCCCTTGGCACAGGCCCCAAAGGATGCCCAGGCCAGGAGACAGCCAACGGGCATTTCCCAGACACTTTCCACATGCTCAGAATCCCAGAATTGCCCAGATTGGAAAAGCCCTTTAAGATCATCGAGTCCAATCATGAACCTAACTCTGACAAGTACCCGAC